GAGTCATGGTAGTGGGAGCGGGGAGGAAACATTTAGGAACTAGAGGAAAGTTGTATTTTTCATTGTTGTTACATCACACCCTGACTGGCTCATCTCCTCCCCGAGAACCCTCTGCAAGGGGGAAAAGCTACTGGTTTTGTGTGGGTCCCAGAACAAGATATATCAAGGTCTGAGCAACATGGAGACTTCCACTCCCCAAGGCCTACTTGGCTACAGTCTCTGATGAATGCCCGGTCTGCAAGCACCATAAACCCACACTGAATCCTGGATATGGCGCCGTTCCTCGGAGCAATTGGCCAGCAACCTGGTGGCAGGTTGATTACACTGGACCACTTCCATCACGGAAATGGCAGTTTTGTTCTCATTGAGATACACACCTACCCTGAGTATGGATTTGCCTTCCCTGCAAGAAACGTTTCTGCCAAAACTATCACCCATGGACTTAAAAGAATGCCTTCTCCACCATCACCGTATCCCACACAGCATTCCCTTGAATCAAAGCATTCACTTCACAGCAAATGAAATGCAACAATCGGTTGTTGGAGAACACCGAAAGTACCATGGACTGTTATGAGGACAAACCAATCTGTCTTGGAAGAAGAAGGCTGGAGTGCGTCATAGAGGCAAGGATGGCAAGACGTCTTCCATATTTTGGACACATTGTCAGGAGAACCAGTTCATGGAGGACACCATGTTTGGTCAAGAAGAGGGGCAGTGGCAAAGAGGAAGGCCCTTGGTGGTAGGGATCAACACAGGGGCTGCATCAAGGGCTCAGGCACAGGAGCAATCGTGAGGATGGCGCAGGGCCATGTGGTGTTTTGTTCTGTTCGGCACGGGGCTGCTGATGGCACCTACCACCACCAACGATAATTTCAACATGACAACTGATCGCCAAGACCCTTCAGGAATGAAGGTTTGGATCCACCCACCAGGGAAAGAACCAGCTAATGTAAATGCTGAGGACAAAGGGATTATGGAATGGATGGTGGAAAAGGGTACTTCTAAATATCAGTTGACCATGTGACTAGTTGCAGAAACAAGAACTGTAATTATTATGAATACAAGTGGCTTCAAAAGTTCATGGGAAAATCACCTTCCCTTTTGACTCTATTTTTCAGAATTTTTGAAATCCCCTCATATTTCTTCATGTGTGTTGTAGATATAGATATATGAGGGGTACCCCCCCAAAACCAGAATTGCACTGGGCAGAGCAGAGCTTTCATGATACTCATTTTTCCCAGTAGGCGAGCATCCAGCAACTCGCTCTGAGTTAGTGCACCCAGTGGCATTGCCTGGGAAGGTTCTCTCTGGTTACAGTGAATTTTTTCATACAAGCATTTTCACTTGAACCTCATTTTTCATGATTGCTGGTTTAAGAGAAGAGCAAGGGGCGATGAAATTTTGTTTCCTGCTTGGGAAAAATGCCACAGAAACCGTTGAGATGTTGATCACAGCTTACAAGGACAGCACTATGCGAAAACTCAAGTGTACAAGTAAGTGGTTTTCTCATTTCAAAAAAGGTGAAGTGTCAATTGATGACAAACCTCGTTCTGGACATCCGTCAACTTCCTGAACAGATGAGAATGCCGCCCCCCATAGTGCATTTGGAGTTGGTTCCACCAGGTCAGATTGTTAATCAGCTCTCTCTTTAGAGGTTCTGTAAAGACTGGTAACGGTGTGT